ACAATTTGACTCTTGGCTTCTCCACTCACCAGAAAACCTTGGCCAGATCACTCTCAACAACTTGGTTTCTTCATCTATAAAATGGGAATAATAATTGTATTTTCTCCCTGAAATTGTTTTGAAGAATATGGGAGGCAGTGCATGTCAGCACTAAGTCTAGACCATAAATCCTTGATATGCAATATTGCTAGCTACTGCTTGCACCTCCATCAGCAGTTAAGAATGGCTTGCGACCTTACCTGAACCACAGGCTGACTCACTCATAGCTGCGCTGTCTGAAAAAGCAATGGCCAACATTCCAGAAGCAAAAATGAGGCAATGACATACATTCATATCCATCTGCCAAGAGACTCTTTTGGAAAGTCCTATATTTCAGGCATAAACAAAATCCAGAAAATAATATAATGAACACTCATAGATGTTTCATGGAACTTTGACAAATTTTAATGTTTTGCAGGGTTTATTCAGATGGTAGGAAATAAACCACTCAGAATTTTGTTGAGTTACTCAGTGCCTCTCCTTGAGCCCGTTCTTCTTCTTACCTTCCCCCTTCTGTCCCAAGATGATTACTGTCCTGAATGTGAGTTTGAACAATCCTCAACATGTTTTTATGAAATTCATATGTTGTATAGCTATGATAATAGCTGTAAATGTTCATAAACAACACTGAGTTTTGTTTTATACAATTTGGTTTTTGTATTTAACATATAAGTCCACCACCGGCTTTTTCTCTTAATATTATGTTTTTATATTTACTCATATTTATACATTTTTATAAACAAAGAGACATAGATTTGTACTGCAGTTTAAATGTCCATTTCATGAATTAATTTTTCCATTATCTCATTGGTAGACATTTAGACTGTTTCTACTTTTTTCTACTTAAATAATACCCCAGTAAACACATAACCTGCATGTGTTCTTCTGTGTATAGGTAAGTGCTTGTCTACATTTATACTGTTTGGCTCAGATCCTATTCCCTTAGAGATAATTCGGTATAAATATATGTGAGGAGAATTGCTGGTCCTTAGGGACGTATATCTTCACCGTTATTAGATATTACCAATTGCTTTTAACACCAGCAGAATATGAGAATTTAAGGGAAACATTTAAAGGGAAGGAAATATATTAAATGATGTTTACTCACCCAACTTTCTTTGGATTTCCAGGAACTGATTTAGGGGGTAATGCTGCTGCTTTCTTATCAGTAGTTATGGAGTACAGGTTACTTTTTTCCTCCCAATGTTAATTATCCCCTCTGTACCCTTTTGTAGTCTTGCATATCCTGCTGTTGATAATAGAATGTTCCTGGAGAAAACCAGACCCTCGACTTGGGTCAAAAGGTTAGGAAACAAATCGTCTCCTGTAGTCTTTAAATACCCTTCTTCCTGAAGAACCCCACTAAAAGTGAAGCTCCTTAGAAATGAAACAACCAAACTGAAAATGGTTCATTAAAAAATGTCAGGTCTCTACATTGACTCTCCTTTTATAACAGGGCACATACACAGAAGGGAGTGGGTAGAGAGATGTAGCTGGACAACAGCATCCTGGACACGATCTTTCAGCCCCAACTGGAACGGAGTTTGTGATTGTGCTGGAGGAAATACAGTTTACGTTTTCAAGAAACCTGATGAGTCAAGTTAAGATTTAAAAGATGCTTGAATGTCTTTTAATAAAATACCAGTCCAGAAATGATTTCACATAATTACACTAGTAAAAAAGCAAATAATTTTATTTTAGTCCTCTGTAAAATTAATCACAGGAATAGAAAATTAGCAACAGAAAAAGAGAGATAAACAATTGTTTTCAATTCTTTTGGGAGGGGGCATTTCCCTGTGTATATGATAAAGAATAAATGTACGTGTCCATGCTACATGCCCACAATTCCAAAGCCAAATAAAATTATTTTTGTATTACTTGCTATTTTGAATCATGAGTGCCATTACTTCCCTTCATTATTATGTCTAATTGTAAGTTGACTGTACCAGGAAATGAACTACAGTTAATTTAACAGTCAACTAGTGACCAAACTGGAGCTATAAAGGGCAGATTGTTGGCATTAATTAGAGGCTTCTGTTTGGCTTTTAGATTCTTATCTGTTTGACCTTGTGTCTTCTATAATCTGGCTGAAGGTTTTCTGGGTCAGCTGAGGGCTTCTGAGTCACAGCACTTGGAACTCTGCAGTAGCTGGTTTCACTGCAGAAATGAACTAACATCAGGATGATAATGCAAAGAATCCCTAGCTTTGCCCACAGGTTTTCTCAGCCAGATCCTGAATAAGAAGGAAACTTCTTGTTTCTTTCTTTCCCTACAACAAAACATCTGTCAGTTTAAACAGGTTTTTAGGAAACAGCCAGAATTTGAACACAGATTCTAGGTGCAAAGCTCCCCTGTTACCCTCTACACTGTCTCTCACATGAATAGCTGATGCTTAGCTATATGAAGTGCCAGACACTGTGCTAAGAGCTCATGCATTCCCTTTCTCAACCCTTACAAGTATTTTATGATTTAGGTACTATTATTATGTAAATACACCAAAATGTAATGACTTGAACAGGATAGAAGTCTACTTTTCTTATAAGTCTAGTAAATATATGCCTCTGTTCCATCCAGGGACCCAGGAAGCTGGGGTGGTTCCTCAGCATGTGGCTTCCATAATTGTTGCAGTTGTTACCTTCTACAGGCAGGAGAAAGCGGAAAGAGAGCGTGAGGAGTGCACCTCCAGGATCCCTGTGTCCTGACCTAATTCCCATTCCTGTTCCCTTAGACATAATTCAGTCATGGCTACACCTGGCTATAAGAGAGACAAGGAAATACAGTCTGGTAGAGCAGGCATGTACTCAGCCATTATTCTACTACTGTGAGAGAAAGGATTTCAGTGCTGACACTGGTCGTTTATTTATGGACATTCAGGCTTCTTTGAAATCTTAACTAAACCCGTTAGGTCTCTGGGCAACTTTCGGTCTCCACCAGTTATCATCTATATTTTACTAATGAGGCAAATTCAATTTAGCAATTTGAAAAACTAGCCCAACGTCACATACTTAGTAGAGGCAATGGGATTCAAACCCAGGCAATGTGAGGCTAAAAACTGAGCATTTAAATGCCATCTACACCGATGCCCTGAGTAATTAATTCTTTGGCGAGTCACTTTTCTCTAAATGGATATTTGTTGTGGGATTCTACTTAACACTGCTGGAAGATTGCGGTAATCAGAAATTTTCCATTATAGAAACAGTGGAGATGAGTCCTGGCGTTCCACATTGTCTGAGTTCAGGAGGCTAAAAGCCTACAGTGATTATCATGTCTTTGGAAGTGAGGTTTCTGTGGTACAGGTAAAAACCTCAGGATTTTCGTGGTTAGAAGATATTAAGTGACAAAGGAAGGTATTACTCTAAGTCATCTCTAATTAGGTGCTTTGGTTTAACACACCCAGTCAAGGATATTTTGAGCTAAAGCTTAAAAAAACCCAAGCTGCCTCTTTATAAGTCACCATTAATGCATAGATGAAAGGTATTTTGAACTTGGGGAACTATTGTCCATCAGCTCAACTATGTAGCTCATAATATGACATACAATTAGTGATTTTATTTACACTTCTATTAAGAGTGTTTTTTAGAGGAGGGGCAGTTTGGGTATTACAAAGAGAGAAACAGGAAAAATTTACATGAAAGGTGAATATTAACTGTATTTAAATAAATGCTATTAATTTTTAGCTCCAAAAATGAATGCTAATTTGTGTAACTCAGTAGATGTGTAACCAAAACAAATAATTGCCCTCCTTAATTCGAGCAAGGGCTGCTCTTCCTAAAATACCAGAGATCTGAAATCTGATTTTTCTCAGTATGAACGCTTGGGCAAGTTACCTTTAACCTCCTTCATCTGTACAATGGAGACACAAACATTTTTTACTTATAGATTTGTTGTGAGAATTAAATGGAATAGTTCATGGAACAACATTAGCATAGTACATGGTAAGCAATGAGTAAATGTTGGGGATTATGACAACTGTCGACACAGTACATTTGAATTGCTGGTGGAGGTTAGGGATGTGGATAACAAATTCTGTAAGACTGTGAAAACACAGTAATGTGGAGGGAAGGCTTACCTCATTTAACAAATTCATTCAAAGTGTTAATCCAGAACTTTGCTAATGCCGGCTGTCAGAATCTTGTGATGAACTAAAGATTTCAGTTAATGTCTTTTTTAATCTTCCCAGGCAAAAATAATCATCACTTTCCTTTCTGTGACTTCTTTGCTATTTCTCCATTCTTCTATCCTTCTACTTAGCACCCTGTGTCACAGGTATTTGTTTGCCTGTTTAGACTCTGCAAACTTCCCTGGTGACCAAGTGACATGTGGAACCCTCCAAGCCAGGGACCACATTTCCTGGCTCCCTGCACAGTGCCTGGCATAAAGCAGGGTCTCCATAAATGTTTCTTTAACGAGTGTCTAAATGGCCTGGTGGAAGTTGCTGGCACACTAGAAGAAGAGCCTGGAAGTACCATGTTATATTTTTCTAGTCTGCTAATAATCAAACCTTTTCATACTCAGTTTCTTCATTTGAGAAATAGTCCATCCAGTGTGCTTCCCTTGCAGAGATGCTGTGATAATTAATGAGACTCATTGGAAAGGAACGACATTCTCTATCCCTTTGAAGTTTGGTTTTACAAGAAGATCTTTATATACAAGGCTGTAAAAATTCTGTTCTCCTTCCTGCCCTTTTTTTCCTCAAGCCCAAAGGTCCAGGAGAGATTATCTGCCTATGAAACTTCCATTTCGTAAATGCCAGTCTCCCCTGTAGTATAACCTGCAGTGTACTCGGCCAGTCAATCCAAGCCCTGAGGCCTTCTCTTTTCACAGATCAATTTGTGAGCATGCAGACTGGAAACCCCTGATAGCTTGAGAGTTGTCAGCAAATGGACTAGGGAAAGCCATGGTTTATTCACAGATGCTCTTGACCTTCTGTGTTCTTTTTGAGGTTGCCCACGTCTTCACTGAAGAAACCACTCGAGAGGGCTTGGCAGGAGCCATGCTCTGTGCTAGGCGTTGGGCCTGGATAGTGCACAGACAGGTGAGTTGTGACGTTACAATAGAGAGCCGTAAGTCCAACGCAAAGAGGTGTGTGGGGGGTAGGTACAGGTCAGGAGGCAGCTCGGGCAGGATGAACCTGGAGTACAGTTAAGAGGATGGGGAGCCATGTCAGGCAAGGAGATGGTACCCGGGCCAGGTGTGAGGGATGAAGAGGATGGATTAGTTTTGTGAACTTGCGTTTAGCCTCACTGAGCCTACATTTCCTCATCTGTAAAATAGGTATAATAAACAACATGGGGGTTAAAAAAATAAATAAAATGATTTTGTAAATTATAAAATGCTTTATAAGTATCCGTTATTATTTGTATCTTCTAGTTGTTTTCCATAAGCTAAGCAGTGAAGACATGGTATTTAAGACCAGCCAAAGCTGAGCTGACATCAGTGGTACCAACATTGTGCTCTTCCCTGGGTGTGGTGTACTGAGCCCTCCACAAGGTGAGGATCAGGGACTGTGTTGGGGAGTGGTAAGAAGACAGGGGATGGAAGCCTTTGGTACCGTCCTTTCATGCTGGCAGCAACCACCCAAGCTAGCGTACAGTGGCATCCTAACTGGGATGCAAAAGAAAGAATGCACTAAGTTTTAGGTGACCACTAGTATCCATAAAATAACGTAGTTTAGAGAGCAACAAGATGCTTTTCTGCATGTTTGAATGTGACCCCACCTGAGTTGAATTTCCATAAACTGTTTCATCTCTAAACTCATAAATTTAGGAACGTTACTCATTCCAGTACCAAAAATTCTAGCCTCTTGACCCTCCAGCCCACTTTCAACTTTACTTTTTCCATTATCTAGTAATCACTCTCTTGTCAATAGCTTCAACTGGTTTGTCTTTTTTTTTTTTTTTTTTTTTTGTGAGTCTCTCTCTGTTGCCCAGGCTAGAGTGCAGTGTCATGATATTAGCTTGCTGCAACCTCCGCCTCCTAGGTTCAAGCAATTCTCCCTCCTTGGCCTCCCAAGTAGCTGGATCTACAGGTGCCCGCCACCATGCCCAACTAATTTTTTTTTGTATTTTTAGTAGAGATTGGAGTTTCATCACGTTGGCCAGGCTGGTCTTAAACTCCTGACCTCAAGTGATCTGCCCACCTCAGCCTTCCAAAGTGCCGGATTACAGGTGTGAGCCACTGCACCTGGCCTGTCCGTGGTCTTTTCAAAGCATTTGCCTTTAAACCCCCCACCCCAGATCAGTCCAGGCTTAAACCCAGTCTTCTGAGTGTTGCTAGAGAAAATCATGCAACTGTGAGATTAGCACTGCTACAAATTCAGGATTTCAGCAGCTATCTGATGTTCTTCTATCATGGGAAAATATTTTAAAATATTATTGGATGTATTTTTCCTTTCTGGTCATTCCTCCTGCCACCCATAGAAGCCAAGGGCACCCCTTACTTTAGGGGAGAAGGCAGTAGTAGCCAGCCAAGAACAAAGGAGTCAGTGTTGAGCTTCTGACTTCCAAAACAGGCTTCTGAAATTCATTTCAGGGAAAATAGATGTGAAAGCCAAGATTTTCATTTGCAAGATCCAGGCTTTGTTGAGAGAGGAGAGGATTTGTGGGTTCTAAGGAAACAGAATAGAAAACTAGAGCATAGTTTACAGCGATAACCATAGAGTGGGGAGGATGAATGATGAGCTGTGATGTATGGCGGTTTCCTGTCAAACCAGAGGGCAACAAGGCAAAGCAAAACAAAACAAAACAAAACAAAACAAAACAAAACAGAAACTCTTGCTGGGCTGGAGGACTGTAACTTGATGCAAGAGGCATAGGAACACCAGGACATTGAGAGGTGACTGCGGGTTGAAAACCTTACTGAAGTTGGGGTAGAAGGTGAGGAGGCAGCATGGAGATCGCCTGGAAAGATCTGGGAATCCTGGAACTGACAGAATTGTGTAATCCTTTTCAACCGGGACTCTGAAATAAGGCTGTTCCTTACAATGGTCCTGGTAACATGGAGTGACCACAGTCAAGAAAACAAAAGAAAAAATGCCACGTTTAGGTAGAGGGAAGCTCTGATATGGGCTGTGTCCCCCCTAAATCCCTCCACTTGGCATAGAAGATCTCCAGATGTCCCATGTGCCCTGCTGGGAAGATGACATGCAGAGGGACTCTGGGATGTAGAGAATACTCTTCGCCAATGCTCTTGTGTTCCTCATGAGGACTCCTCCTCCTCTTTCTGTTCTTCCAATGCTGATGCTTTCTCCACACCAGCACTCTTCTGGCCTTACACGTAGCTCATGTTTTACACAGATCGTCCTCAAATTTGTGTCTTTGAGTCTAAAGAACAGATGCTGCTTCATACTTTTACCTCTAGAGCTTGGTTTATAATTGAATTTCAGAGTATATTTATCAGGTGAATTAATTAACTTTTGTGCATCCTGCACGGAATTGAAATCTTCCAGCATCTTTGCCACTTTAAGATGATATAATGCCATATGTTTGGCCTGCAAATAAATATTTACAAGATACTTCCAAGTGGAATCTTAGTGCCTTTGTTGAGATATTGACCCCTATAGGTAGTAAGTTTCATATTTTATTTTATTTGTTTGTTTTTGAGACAGAGTCTTGCTGTGTCACCCATGCTGGAGTGCAGTGGTATGATCTCAGCTCACTGCAACCTCCACCTCCTGGGTTCAAGTGATTCTCCTGCCTCAGCCTCCCGAGTAGCTGGGACTGCAGGTATGCGCTACCACGCCCAGTTAATATTTTATACTTTTAGTAGAGATGGGGTTTCACCATGTTGGCCAGGCCGGTCTTGAACTCCTGACCTCAAGTGATCCACCCGTCTCGGCCTCCCAAAGTGCTGGGATTACAGGAGTAAGACACCGCGCCTGGCCAGTTCCATATTTTAGATAATTAGTTTATTTGCCACTTGGCAGAGAAAATTTAGAAATAAACAACCTAATACTTTGGAGTAATACAATGTAACCCAAAGGTCACTTAGCCTAAAGCCTCCACCCTGTGATAGTAGGTTTCTAAGCCCTTCCTCAAAGTGTCCATAGGTTACTTGCAGAAATCCCTAGAGGGATGCATTACTTGTGTCAGACTGTCAGGTACTGTCATCGTATGGTACCCACTCCACTCTTCTCTTGCTTTGGTTCCAAACTGTGATGTCTGCCGGCCATGAAGCCATTTAGAACAATGTCGCTTCTGCCCATGATGTGAACAGTAATGCCCATGAAAATGTCATGAAGCTGTCCATCTTTGGCATACTAAAGTAATACTAGCGTCTATGAAGAAGCTGAGAAAATAACTTTCTCCATAATTCTGGGCCACATTTTATCACGGAGCTCCTAAGCTCATGGTCTCACAGTTTTGCAAGCTTCTGGTTATCCCCTTTCACAAAAAAGAACTCCATGGAAAAAGTTGGGAAATGAATACTGCACCATTCCCTTCAAACTCCTCTGGGAAAGCCCTCACCGAAACTCCTCTCTCTGTTTCCAGTTACCAAACAACAGCAGCCACAAAACTCCAATGTATATTAACAGAAGCAACAAATAAGTTTAATGGACTGAGGGAGAGAAGGAAGAAAGGTTATTGTCTTCACTAGCAGAATTTAGGTAGCAATTCTTCCTACTCAAAATGCTGTTTCAAAATACCTTGTATATAGTGAAATATAGCATCATGACTGCTGGAAAAGGAGTTTATTCTTTCCCTAGTAAACATGGGGAAATGGGAGCCAAAAGAGTGAAGAAGATAAACCAGATTAGGAAATGACATCTTAAAAGATACTTTTGTCTTGCAGCTATATAAAGAATGCAGATCAGAATGACTCCTGGACATTAACCCACTGAAGGTCTACCTGAAGAACTTCCCACTCCTGCTGTACCTTGTACGCTGATTCTATCACCCCTCAGGAGTTTTGTCACTGACTTCACCATTTATTTTCCCATCATAGTGTGCTGTGTCCCTCAGACTTAACATAGCATGTTTGTCTTCTGAATAGAGACTTGTCTATGTTGAGCCATATATCTGCCTCCTCCTTCTGCTTGACACAGGCCTCCACCAGCTGGACTCAAACTTCAATCACCCCCGAACCAGGCCTATCCCTGAAAAACTCTCCTATTCTTGTACTTGGATCCAGTAACTCCCAGTCTTATACTAAGATCCAGAATAATTCCTTCGGATTATAGTTTTAAACATTGATGCTCAAAAGAAAATACAATCCTGGGGTGAGCATGATGGCTCATACATGTAATCCTAGCACTTTGAGAAGCTGAGGTGAGAGGATTGCTGGGGGCCAGGAGTTTGAGACCAGCCTGGGCAACATAGCAAGATTTCATCTCTACAGAAAATTCAAAAATTAGTTGGGCATAATGGCATGTGTCCGTAGTTCTAGCTACTTAGGAGTCTGAGGCAAGAGGATCACTTGAGCTCAGGGCTTCAAAGTTACAATGAGCTATGATCAGGCCACTGCACTCCAACTTGGGTGACAGAACGAGGTCCTGTGTCTAACAAAAAATAAATGAAAATAGCATTCTGAAGATGGATGGTGGTGATGATTGCACAACACTGAGCTGTACACTTTAAAATGGTTAAAATGGGGTGTGTGTGTGTGTGTGTGTACATGTATAAAGGCAATGATTAAAATGGGTTCATTCTTTTGATTTGAGAAGTTTAAAATTAAAATTGTGAACATTTACGTACTTTCAATGATTTTTTTCCCATAATAGTGTAAGTAATAAGGAAAGAGAAAGAGAAATCGAAAATAGAAAATTTTTGTAAAATTCTTCAAAAATATTAAATGAATTGGGTCAAATTTACATCAAGTACTTTTACAGTGTGTGCTTGGATATGCATAGACAGCTTCTATTTTTCTCATTGTGGGTTTGAGTATTTCTTTCCCTGGTGGAGGTCTATTGCCTCTCAAGAGAGAGAAAAGTTGTGGAAACAAAACGAGGCTTTGTGCATCTTTCACAAGGGCTGGTTTGTTTTAGAAGGAATTTCAAGGAAGTTGGGAATCTTAAAATTGTGTTTTGTTTCATAGATAGTAAGTTTTCTCCTATCACTGAGGTCCCACTTTTAGCAAATGCATATATAATTCTTCTTAATGCTGATAAATCTATGAGAAAAGGAGAATTGCAGATCATTTAGAAAAATCACAGGGTCCACATGATTCTCAGCTTATTCAAAGGTCTTGTTTCCAATGGGCCAAATACAAATTCTTCATTTACCACAAACCCTAAAATGTGGGAAGAAGATAGCTGAGTCAACAGGAAATAAAGGAGACAACTCTCAAACTCTGTGTAGGGAATTAAAATGCTACTGTTCCCACATACAGACATAGACAAGCCCTTGCTTTTAGGAGCTAAGGAGTGCCTTGCTTATGACCAGCTTGGGCAAAGCACAAAGACACCATGGGGCTCACTGTTAAAGAAGTTTACTTTCAGTGAATGAAGAGCATTAAATATTACTGTAGCATACTAAGTGCACCAACTTCTTTGAATTAAGAACCCCACTGTTTGGTGTACATCTTTGTCTTTTCAGAGATAAGAATTCCATTCAAACTAATAATAATCTCACCGACTAATCAAATAAATAACCTAATGTTAAAGCTATATCCAAGGCACCGGAAGCCCTTTAACGACAGCTCACTTATCAATACCCATGTCTCTGTGAAGGGTTACAGAGTTATTACTCTTACAGATTCAGACACCAAACCACAGAAGTTCAATGATTGACCCAAGACCAGCAAAGCCGGCTTGTCACAGGGCAAAGCAGAGATTTGCACCCATGCCTATCTCGTTCCAGTAGATCTTCTTATGGATAATTAAATTCCCAATCTGGGGAGTTAAATTCCATCACTGTTCCAGCAAGGTACTTTTCTGAATCAGAGTCTTCTTTTGCTGAGACCCTGCCTGATGCATTTCAGACAGTTTTGCAAGATGGCAAGGACTCCCACTTCCCCACCATGACTCACTGGATGTACATGGCACTCATCCTTTCTTTCTTTAGCTTAACTTTTAAAAATCATGACAACCTTTCAGTAACCTAATATAAACTATAACACCTCATTAACCAAGTGTTTGACAGTGTAATCAGGAAGCATAGCGACTTCAGGCAAGGAAGAAGTATAAGACAAGGTGAATGCTAAAGAAAAATGACATCGGCCCGGGAACAGGGACTCACGCCTGTGATCCCAGCACTTTGGAAGGCTGAGGCGGGAGGATCAGGAGGTCAAGAGATCGAGACCATCCTGGCCAACATGGTGAAACCCTGTCTGTTCTACAAATACAATAATTTGCTGGGCATGGTGGCATGCATCTGTAGTCCCAGCTACTTGGGAGGCTGAGGTAGGAGAATGGCTTGAACCTGGAAGGTGGAGGTTGCAGTGAGCCGAGATCGCGCCACTGCACTCCGATCTGGTGACAGAGTGACACTTCGTCTCAAAAAAAAAAAAAAAGAAAAAGAAAAATGACATTCATGCTATGTGTTATTACAGTAATGTTCTTAGCTGTGAGATGTGTGCAAAGAGAAAAATCCTAGCTAGTAACCCATCAACAAACATGTTAAGAAAAAAGCACATTGTAGTTGGGTAACCTGCCTCATGACTGCACTTAAACCAATTAATAAGAAACAAAATCAGTTTAAGGACACTTTTTTTCAAACCCATGTATCGAACTGTTTAAGGGGGAATAGCCTAGAATGTCTTTCAATGATATGGTAAGAGTTAGGCTCCTGAAAAAACCTAGTACCTCGAAAGCTTGATTAGAAGCTATGTATGTTAGGTCTGTTGGACTCTAATATTCATCTCTTCATTCAACAATTATTCACTTAGCTCCTACAATATGTAATATGGATTTACGTGGCTTTTGATGTTGCAAAGAGTAATTGATTTTTTAAAGTATTTTGAAAGGAATCCATGATCATCTATTCTGTTCCCATGATCCTTTCAAATATTGGTAAAAATGAGCTTACTTCTGTTTCTGCTGGGGCAGGAATACCATTAACCCCAAGGGTAGAGCAGCATTCTGCCAGAAAATTCTAGCTGCCATCCCTAAAGTCAATTAAAACCTATATGTAGTAAATTTCCAGACCCTTCATATGTTCTTCCCATTATTCCTGGCAGTAGACACATATTGCCCTCCAAGAGCTAGCTGCATATCCAGTACACCCATGTGAGTGGGGATTGCTGACTTAAGCAGGGATGGAGTCCTGATAGCCTTCTTTGAAAGACATTAACCTCAGTAATTGAGATAAATATTTTTCCTAATAAGAGCCCAGAGGGAATATGTCATATACTTTACTGTTTTCAGGGTTTAAACTCAGTTGCAGGCAGAACTTTTTCTAAAGGTTTCAAAAGAAAGGCAAGCCAACAGGTGCAGTCATATCGCCAAGCTTCTATAACTTCTTCAGATTGTGGACATTGAGACGGAGAAAAGAAAGCTCGGAAAAGGAGGGATGGAGAGCTGAGTAGATTTTTCTTCCATGTCTGCATGGTCTGGTTTACCTTGTCACTCTATACTTAAGTAAGTTAAAAGTTTAATACACAAAAGGAAAGAAGTTGATGATGTTCTAATTTCATTCAGTTACCATAGGTGAGGATATTCTCTATGCAAAATTGTAGCTCACATTAGGTTTATAAGATAGTGCACCATATACAATTCATATCTTATTTAAATATCTTAGTTTATAGTCACTAGAATCTTTATTTTTATTTTATTTTAGTTTTACTTTTTCCAACTTTTATTTTAAGTTCAAGGGGTACATGCACAGGTTTGTTACATGGGTAAATTTTGTGTTGTGGGGGTTTAATGTACAGATAATTTTGTCACCTAGGTAACCAGCATAGTACCCCAATAGGTAGTTTTCAATCCTCACCTTCCTCCCAAACTCCACCCTCAAGTAGGCCCCAATGTCTATTACTCCCTTCTTTGTGTCCCTGTATACTCATTGTTTAGCTGTCACTTATAAGTGAGGACATTTGGTTTTCTGTGATAGTTCATTTAGGATAATGGTCTCCATGTCCATCCATGTTGTTTCAAAGGATATAATTTTGTTATTTGTTATGGCAGCATAGTATTCCATGATGTATATGTACCACGTTTTCTTTATCCAGCCCACCATTGATGGGCATGGGAGGTTTAACTGGGCATGGTTTCCTGCCTTCAAAATCTTACCTTGATTAAGTGTTCCACAAGAAAAATTGAAGAGTTCGGCAGAGGTAAGAAAGAAAAAAGGCACATCATATAAGAGAGAAGACCATAGCATGAGGCAACATGTATGTTTGTAACATCTCAAGAAACATGTGGAAAACAACTTCACATTGATCTGAAATCATGTGCCATGTGTCATAACCTCTCTTTGTTTCCATAAAATTGCATCATTAAGGAGTATATTTTGCTTGATTATTCTCTATCAAAGAATGTGGGTTCCATGAAAGGTTGGGTAGAAGAGTCTCTCTTACTTTTCCTCCCATATTTTCCCCTCAAATGCTGGATGAAAGGGAGAGAAGAACTACAAGTCCCTGGTGGAGGCCTCAATTCTGGGAGTGTCCCAGCCCCAATCTCCTCCCTCTGCCTGCCCTCTGGGAGGCTAAGGTGAGGGAAGTGGGTGCACCCATCAGCAAAACTCGATCCCAGGCCTGGGGCTGTTCCTCTGCTTTGCCTTTGCTTAAACCCTGTGGGAGGGCTCCTTTGAAGGCCAGAGAAAGGCAAGTCCACCATCTGGGAGGAGGAGACACACACATAGGATGTCACCACACCGTATCCTTAGTCCCTCGTTGGACTGGGTCAGATTTGCAGGTAAGCCTGTGAAAATAGCCAGCCACCCAGTCACTGCCCGGCTTCCGCCAATGTGTCCTGACTCCAACCCGGTCTTGTAAGCCCCTTTCAGACTCTCATTGCTCTGTCACTCCTGTGTTCACTTCCTATATTTTCACACAGATGTGGTTTAGTGTTTGCTTTCTAAGGCATATTTTGCATGGAAGAATGCTTCCAGTGAGCTGAGGCCCTAATTGCCAAATAATGGTTGCCAAAACATGTTATTTTGGCTTCAAGCTTGTACAGAGCTGAGGCATTTTCCCCTCTTAAAAAAAAAAAAAAAAAAAAAAAAAAAATTCCATCCTCAGCAGCCCAAGGGCCATTTGCAAACACACAGGA